TTACAACAGAGCACATGATACACCTATAACACATACAGTAAATGACCCAAGCCTGCAGTCAAGCAAAAGTAATTTTCAAATGTGCTGCTGTGAAAACTACACTGTTCTTGACTAAGCTTGTAGGGTTGGCCTCTCTCTCCGTTTCCCCCACTCCCACCCTTCTAACCCTAAGCACAACTTTTTGTCATACCAATTCAATTTCATATTCTCAGATATAATCCATCTTGTTCAAAGCTTTGCAAATCCTTGTTCTGCCTTTGACCATATTAGCTCCCTTCCTAATGGTTTCAAATGGACATTTCCAATCATGCCAAACCACGCTGTGTTCAAAGCAGAACCCTATGGTGTGACCCTCAGTGAACAGGGCACCAGCTTCAGGGGCTTTATGGGCCAATTCCAGTAGAGATCTCCTCCAGTACCTTGGACATCGACCTATACATTAGTACCTTGTGGGCAGGGTCATCCAATCCATTGGAAATATCACCACCAACACCCGTCAGACCACACACTTTCATCTCAGCAAAAGGAATTGCAAGAGGAGTTCTGTCAACTGCTGAAATTCACGGACTGTCCGACAGCATCTCTGCAATCCACCAGGTGAGAAACCCTAACCATGAAGGATCAGATGAGGAGACGCCCAATCACAGTCCTACTATTGATATATTCTACTAACAAAAATAATGCTGTAACTGTACAAACCTGGAGACAGATCCAAATAAAAAATAACAATCAGTTTACTTGCAACCCAAGTTCAAATAAGTCTGAACAGCTCCCAGCTGTGCCTGTTGTAGATTAAATTTTGTCCCCCCAAAAAGATAAGTTCAAGTCCTAACTCCCAGTACCTGTGAATGGGATCTCATTTAGAAACAGGGTCTTTGCAGATGTTTCAAGTTAAGATGAGGTCACACTGGATTATGGTGGGCTCTGATCCAATAACTGGTATCCTTACAGGAAAAAGAAAATGTAAGCAGGCATACTGCCATACAGTGAAGAGGGTCACATCAAGACAGAGGCAGAGATTTTGGCGGTGCTGCCACAAGCCAAGGAATGTCGAGGACTGCCAACAACCATCAGAAACTTGGAAGAGGTGGTCGGGTACGGTGGCTCACACCTGTAATCCCAGCACTTTGAGAGCCAAGGAGGGAGGATCATGTGAGCCCAGAAGTTTGAGACTGGCCTACACAACATAGTGAGGCCTTGTTTCTACAAAAAATAAAAAAAAATTTGCAGGGCATGGTGGTGTGCACCAAACTCAGCTACTCGGGAGGCTGAGGCAGAAGATCGCTTGAGCCCAGGAGGCAGGGGCTATGGTAAGCCATAATTGTGCCACTTCACTCCAGCCTGGGCAACAGAAAAACAAAAAAGAAAGAAAAAGAAAATTAAAGAAACTTGGAAGAAGCAAGTTTGAGAAAACAAAACAAAAAACAAGAAAGATCTTTAGAGAGTCTAACGAGAGGACAAGAGGCATTTAGAGCAGAAGACAGTAGATAGCAGGGGTGAGCTTCCAGGAGAGGGGGAGGAAAATGGTCAAACAGGTCTGGAAGTGTTGGCTTGGAGGCTAGGGGCAGGCTTGGACAAACTTGCCCACCTCCAGTGTCAGCCTTATCACCCAGGAGTTCACTGTTCCATTTCCCAGCAACATCTTGTCGCTTTTTAATGGCAACAGATCACAAGCTTGTCAGCTAGTCATCAACATGTAAGCAAAACCATATGGACCTTCCTGTCTCCAATGTGACATTTTCCCTGCCGAGCAAGGGAATGACCTGCCCGCCTCTCTGTCTCCATCAGTAGTACTCTGGCCACCATTTCCAAGGAGCTAAGACTCCATTGATGGGTGACAACATTGCTAAAATGGTCACATTTTGATGTGCAAACTTTAGGGGTAGAAGGAGACTCCCTGGCAGTTTCTGATATTGACCGGCTCCAACGGGACCCCATGAAACAAACAACTGTAATGGCACAACTACTCCTTGGAAGGACCTTAAGAGACTCCCCTGGAGCTTTCCTCGCAGTAATTAGATCATCCTGAACATGCTGGGAGCTGGCTTAATTTTGAAAGACAAGATAAAAGTGCTGCCTGGAGGCAAGAGGCCACTTCTCGCAGCCATTAAATTGACCATAGTTCAGGAGCAGCACATCCCAATTTTCTCTCTTTTGACTTTGCTAAGAACTTTCTTGTTTTTCATCGACCAATTCCTAAGTCGATTCTGATGTGAAATAGGCATCACCTTAAATTTCCATGTTTTTGCTCAGACCCTGGATTCGTTTCATAGGGCCGCCATTACAAAATACTGCAAACCGGGTGGCGTCACACAACAGACACATATTGCCTCACAGGTATCAATTCTGAACATGACTGCTCCCACCCCTGGCGGACACCCCTTTAAGGAAGCCACTGTGGGACAGTCCAAATGAAGCATCGATGTGCAAATGCCATTTAGCAAGTACAGATAAGCTGGACTAAATCACGCCTGGGGCACTTTTTAAAAAATTCAAATGTTAATACATTAGCACTAGAACAAGCTGTACAAGCAACAGGAAGATTGCAGTTGTCAACGTGTGAATTTAGTCTCGAGGTAAGTTCATCCAAGGAAATAAAATCTCAATTTAGATTCCTTTTCTACCCAACCGCTTCCCTTCCTTAGCCACATGTTTCTTTTAGAACGGAGGAGGACATCTTTACTCAGCAGATGTACTTATTTCACATGAAGAAATGGTCAGGGAATATCCAACAAGGGAGAGGATGAGAGTTCTCATCAAAGTACTCTGAGGTGGTCCTTTGGAGGGTCAGAGCACAAAAGGTGAGCAAGGTGTCCTGGGGTGTGTGTGTGTGTGTGTGTGTGTGTGTGATCACTTGTACATTTCTGTTATCTGTGTGCTTTCTTTTTTTTTTTCTGAGTTGGAGTCTCACTCTGTCGCCCAGACTGGAGTGCAGTGGCCGCTCCCGGCCACCGCTGCCTTGACCTGCTGGGCTCTGGCGATCCTTCTGCCTCAGCCTCCCAAGTAGCCGGAATTACAGGCATGTGCTACCATGCCCGGCTGGTTTTTTGATTTATTGTAGAGATGAGGTCTCGCTGCCCAGGCAGGTCTCGAACCCGTGGGCTCAGGCAATCCACTCACCTCAGCCTCCCAAAGGCACGGGATTACAGGCTGAGCCACTGAGCCCAGCTTGTATGCTTTCTAATGAGAAAGGATTCTAATGGGAAACTGCAAGGATTTTCTGGCATTTTTTGTTGTACTTCTCAGACTGTCCACTTGCCCGTCGGTTCACATGGATGAAGTAGGCTGTGGCATCCTGTGGTGTGGGGGTGGGAGGGAGGAGCCCACTACCTGCGGGGGGAGGGGAAGCCCAGTTGCCTGGGCTTAGGAAGCCCTCCAGGTGGGAGAGGCAGCCCCAATTCCACCTGGAGGCTAGACACAGACCCAAGGGCCTGGGAGCCCGTGGCCAACTCAGATGATCTGAAACTGAGCTGTATTCCAGCTTGACTTCGACAGGTTGTTTTCTATGTCAAAGTAACAACGAACTTTCATTTCAGAACACATCTGGTCTCTCGAACCTTTCTATCACCAGCAGCTATTTTCTTTAAATTGAAAGTCAAGACAGTTTATTCTTCTCAAAACTGTGCTGTCAGTTCTTCTGTTTGATTCTTAACTTTCACCTGTTCTACACAATGGCAAAGCTGTCCTCTCCTTTAAAAAAAAGTGGGGTGGGAGAGGCCCTCCCTTGAGGACACTATACCTGTGACATATTTATCTAAATCTGTGCCCCAAAGGGCACGTCCATCAGAGATAAAGATGGAATGTACTTAGAGAAAACGTATTTAGAGGAAAAGAGATGCCCAACTGCTCTTCCAGTGAGGATCCTTAAACCAAAATAAATCTTTTCAAAGGACACATCTAGATATACATTGGTTGGGCATTTGAAGTTTTCAAGATTAAAGGACACTTTTTCATATTCTTATCCCTCCCTATACACCCTAAGTCATTTTAAAATATGAAGTAATTACAGTATGCCTAGATTCATATACCTGGAAAACATACATATGCATATGACATAGGTACCATATTTGAACCTACATCTGCAGTGTGAGGGTGAGAGCATGTCACATGATGTATCTCATTATTGTCAGAGTTCAAATGTTGTCCATGCACTTTTCCAAAAACTCACTCATTCACTTTTTCTGCACTCATTTAAGCAAAAAGTTCATTATCACTTCAAAAATCATTTCTAGCTAGACACAGTTTGAATTGTCTATCTTTCCCTAATTAAGTTAGAAGTAATATTATCAAGAAGCACAATGATCTTGTTATATAACAATCTTATTTGGTACAGTAGTATTACCTGTGACATTATTAAGATTCTCAATGATTTACAATATCCAAAGAATCATTCTTAAAGTCACAAACTTTCATATTCATTTCCTAAGACGTCTTTCCCTCTTCAAATTGTCCCATCTTTATTAATTACAGAGGATTACATTTATCTTAATGGAAGGAAGCTACTATCTTTTTCTGATCTCACAGATGTTGATAACATGCAAATTATGAAGTATTTAAAGGGGAAAAAAAAAACAGATACCAAACCACTTGCCCAGCTAGGAATGAAAGGAGGCCACATGAAAGCTGAGCTTGGAGACATATTCAACAACTCTATGATTATAAATCCCTCGGTCATAAATTTTGAGAAAAATATATAATTAAAAATATGCAATCTGTCCCACAGTTTTCTATAAAACATCAATTTCATTATTAAGTGGTTATAAATTGGCCATTCGTAATTTACTCTAAATAATTTAACCTTTCCAATGATCATTTCATCTGTTTTCTATACAGCAACAACAAAAAAATCAAAGAAATTCAAGATATGGAAAAGACATGCTGGGTGAGGATCTGAAACTGATTTGGTAGCTTTGGAGTTGACATAATCTTGGCCTGGTGCAGCTCATTTGAGAAAGCTGCCTCAAATTTCCCCCCGTTTTGAACTTTTTTTTTTTCCTTACCACTTTCATCTAGCAAGAAATCATCCTGGTAACGGAACTTCTCCGGTCCACATGCAATAAAAATGTCATCGTCGCCAAAAAAGTCCTGAAGGCACATCACCTACAAGAGAAAAGCAGGGCACTCAGCGAGTGGTGGCAGAACAGCAATTACAACAAGACATCCCAGCAAGTCGACGTCTGCATAAAACCACCTCCAGCCTCATGGAATCAACAGGGTGGCTTCTCCCGAGGAATTTCAAAAGAGGGGTCCCCGCATCTGTTACTCGTAAGAAACGTGTTCCGTTTCAGTTCTGCAGGAAGGCGGGGAAGGGAAATAGGCCCGGTAACTGTCACATTTATTACTTGATATATCAATAGGCTCTGAGGCAAGAACCCTTTGTTTCTGCAACAGACTGAACACACACAACATGTGGAGATGGAGTCCCCCTCTACCCCTCTGAGTGTAATACTCCTTGGTAGCAGGAAAACTCGGCATATGGTTTTAACAACAAATATGTTTTTTAGTAATGGATGCTGTTGTATGCACGTGATCATCCCTGAAGAAAAACGCTCTGTCATAATGGGAACGTAATCTCCTTTGGATCCATTCTACCTCCGGTTGAAAGAAAAATGGAACTCTTTATAAAAGGAATAATAAAGAAACGAAGTTATTGCTAAGACTTAGAGATGACAGTCACTGTATATCCGTCACCCAAGCAACTCTAGAACTCCGAGGCTACCCAACTTCTTGTTGTCATGCCAAAAGAGTGTTTTAAAGTGACCTTTCCAAATTTGTTCAACTTATTGTCCAATGAGAAAACTTTAAGAGAGCTAAGTGTCATTTTACAAGTAAATGGGGTTAAAACGAACACTTTCCACAAGCATCTTGTTCTCTGTCTTAGGACAGGTTGCATAGTATTTTGTTTACAATATGTATAACACGGACCCTGGGATAACTGCTGATTTTTAAAATCGATTTTCAATTCCCTTTGACCACTGGGCATATCATAAGGTGGTCGATTGAAGGCACCTATTCAGAGTTGTAGGACACAGAATTTCTTTCTTGCTTTTTTTTTTTTTTGAGTCAGGGTCTCACTCTGTCACCCAGAGTATAGTGTAGTATCATGACCACAACAATCACAGCCCATAGTAGCCTCGACCTCCTGGGATCAGGCCATCCTTCCGCCACCATGTCGATTAATTTTTCTTATTTTTTGTAGAGAAGAGGTTTTACTATGTTGCCCAGGCTGGTCTCAAACTCCTGGACTCAAGTAATCTACCGGCTTCAGCCTCCCAAAGTGCTGGGATTACGGACATCAGCCACCGCGCCTGGCCAACACAGACTGTCTAACAGCATTTTCCCCTGGATATTTGAGGACCAGAAACAGACCTTTCTGGAGAGCCAGATGCTTTGGGCCTGTGTTTATGAGTAGCTCCTCTTTTAATTGTCTTGTTTTTGGGCAATTCCTAGTAGCACTACCCTGACATATCCCATGTGCTATAAGACTTAGAGTAGTAAGTTTAGAGAACACAGTATTATTTAGAGTCCCCAAATGATGTGTGGGCTTCAGACTGACTTTCCAAATAATCTCTCATTTACAGATCAACACTTGGCTGGAGTTTAAAAATGAAATTTCTGTAACAGTTTAGTAATCAACATTAAGCAGAATGAGATATATCCATGGTTGTCAGTGCTCATTCTACCAGTGAAAGCTTTAAAACATGGGTGACTTATGGGGGACATTGTAATCACTGAGGAAGATGGGCCAAAAGGCTTCATGAGCAGTGTCAGAAGCTCTGATCTGCTACTTGGCTTAAAAACAAGCCCCCCTGAATTCAAAACCAACTCCCCATTTCACTCTTCTCCCTCTGACTCCAACCCTACCCTGTTCATTTTTACCTTCATGACACCCCAGCTTCTCCTATCCACATGGGCATCATTTCAGCCAAGCCCACACAGCCATTTTTATTTTACATGAGCAAGTCTTCACAAAATGCCTACTATGTTCTGGTAGCACAGAGCACAGACATACAAAAAGGAAGACATGAGCTCTCCCTCAGATCCCAAAGAGCAGTATTTCCTAAAGGGTGGATGGATGATTAATAGATTTTGTGCGAAAGAAAGTTCTAAGGCCAAAGAGGTGTGGGGAATACTGAGTTTATCCAATGTAAACAGGTTCGTTTGTTTTCCAACTTCTCAAACTCTTAACGTGCTAATGCACACCACGACTCCAAAAAAGGGATTAAAAAATCAGGTATTTTCCAAACTTATTTGATCCCAGAACTCTTTTCTCACATAGCATCATACAGACTAGTGTTCTATAGAGTTCTCTTTGGAACTGGGCTTGACAGCCATAGGTGAAAAGACTTCTGGGAACACATGAAGGAAAGAATAGTCACCCACTCTCTTCCTGGGCAGCCATGCTTCTCTAGCTGATGAACATTTAGTTGCTAACTTATTTCCTCACTCAAACATTTATGAAGGGCACACTCTGTACCAAGCATCATGATGACAAATCTCTGGTAGATGAAAAATGCAATTCTCTAAAGGAAATGTCCATTCTGCATATTTTATTTCCCACCATGAGCATCGGAGAACATCAGATTGCTGACTGGATCCCGCTCATCTATGTGTGCATGTTTTATGCGACGGCCACGTGGACAAATAACCATCATCAAAACTATGAAATGTTCCAAGCAGGCTGCCAACCACTCTCTGCTATCCTTTTACTGATGACCCTTCTCCAAGCCTGAGACTTAAAGAACAGAACAGACAGCGATCCAACATGGACAGTTTTAGGTCTAATCCTGTTGGCAAGTGGGAGACGAAACATGATGAACTTTTGATGTCCTTTCCAACACCAGGATTCCAAGAACATGAAAAGAACACAGCGATTGTTCAGGAAAAGTAACTGTCATCGCCTAGCACAAAAAGACAGGGGAAAGTCATTTCGGTGCCAAGGAACACACATTCATTCATTTACCTCTCAACCTTCAGTGACTGAAATCAAATACTTTGTTGAGCTATCAGAAACTCTGTTGTATTCTGTGCGTTCTCCTGTACAACACTTCGCCACTTTCCTGCTCATAGCTTCCTACTGGAAAATGTAGGTAAGGTCAATAGATCAAGTTCAAATTTATAAAACTGCTCCTTGTCATAAGTTTTGGGAAAAGAGATGATAGCAAAGGAGGCTTAAACACAAGGTTACAATAAAGATGGATTTAGGATAATCTATGCACTTCAATTATCCATGCTTTTATGCTCTATTGCTAATCTAGTATTTTTTTTTTTTAGAAAGCAGGATTTATTGAGAGAACAGAAAAGCTCCCATAGTGGAAGGGGACCCGAAGGGGCTGCCCCAGCGTAATGTATTCTAACAAAAGAGAATAACAGAGGAAGATTTATAATGCTCTTCTCTTTGAGAATTTTCCTTGGGCATGACTGTACATTCTGATAGCAAAGAATTATGAAAGGTAGAATGGAAAACTTATGTTTTGCATAATAATCTGATTTTATTATATACAGTGTTACTCCTTTTGAAATGTGATATTTTCAAAACTCAGGGTCGTTACCAGTTTTACAAAAAAGTTCCATCTATGGATGAAAAACGTGCTTCTGCTACACGGGGATAGTGACATGGCAATGTCTTTGCCATGAAATTTCTACTCAGTAAGTGACAGATATTGGAAGCATTCATCAAGATTAGATATAGTGTGGATGCAGCACAGGCAGAGAGATCAGGTTCGAGAAAAGAGCGACGTCACCCTGTGGAGAAGCACCTTTCCAAGCTGTCTGGCTTCCCCTTCATGCTTCCGGACCTCTCAGGAGAGTTGGGACTGTCAGGGCTCTACTCTCTCTGTGGTTTCACTATGGTCATAGACTCTGACCCTGCAATAACTCAAGCCCTCACACTCCCCTACTCCCATCACCATGTCAGTCCAGAGTTTATGCTCGCTTGTGAATGTTCTCACCCCCACCTCTTTTCTCTCTGGACCATTCTGTTTAATTCTGTCAGTCAACTCTTCCTTACCAAACTTTCAAAATCTGTTTCCATGATGCAGAAAACCATCAATGACTTACTACCTTCAAGTTAAAGCTCATCTTTCTGAGTTTGGCTTTCCAGCTGCCTCAAAATCTGCCTCCGACCTACCTTTTAGGTTTCCAGTTGTTTTAGTTGTGACACAGTGTCTGATACTTAATAAGCTTTTGTTAGATGGATGGATGGATGGAAGATCTATGCTCTAACCTGAAACATTTTCCAATTTAGCTGCTTTACTTCTTCTCTAAAAGGGGCTTGCTGTTGCCTACTTATGTGTTTCTTTCTGTTAATTTTTTTTTCCTATTTGGAATCCCTTCCTACCTGTTCATTGCCTATTCAAATCCCTCCAATGAGCTGGGCTCAGTAGCTCAGCCTGTAATCCCGCGCTTTGGGAGGCCGAGGTGAGTAGATTGCCTGAGCCCGTGGGTTCGAGACCTGCCTGGGCAACTTGGCGAGACCTCATCTCTACAATAAATCAACAACAAGTCGAGTGTGGTAGTGTGTGCCTGTAGTTCCGGCTACTTGGAAGGCTAAGGTGGAAGGATCACCAGAGCCCAGCAGGTCGAGGCTGCGGTGGCCGGGAGCGTGCCACCGCACTCCAGTCTGGACGACAGAGTGAGACTCCAACTCAAAAAATAAAAAAAAATCCCTCCGATGGTCCAAGGAGGGAGACTCAAGCCTTTCCTTCTCTCTCCACTCCAATCCAATGGAACTCATCCCTGCTCTGAATCTCTATCCATCATTCAATGTTTACTGAGTGTCTATTATCTGCCAGCCACTGGGCAAGGTTTGAGAACATGACTACCCACACTCTTCACCTCTTATTTTCCCATCTCTATTTGTCTACAGACTTAGGACCCCCAAAGCTCCTAACATACAGAGGACTGCACGCTGATGTTTTTTTCTGTACCTTGCCAAATTCCTAACTAAGGGCCCTGCAGAGACAGGATTTTTATTAATTATTTCATGGGGCTTACTTTCCAACCTGGCTCTGGTATAACATCACGTAACAGATAAAGAAGGAAAAGCAAAGTATTTGATGACCCAGTAAAGCTGTCTTTTGGGGACTCCAGGAGCCTAT